AGAGAGGGACCAGTATTGGTGGCCACAATGACCTACAGGAATACAGTTTCAATACATCCATCATTGTTGTCATATGCAAGTGTGCAGTTGGCCAGAGCTTTATTCTGATGGATAACATACAATCCTGTCATGGTCAACTGTTTAGCAACATTTTGGAAGAAAAACATTTCAAGAGAATGGTTTGTTTGTTTATTAAATTTTGTGCAAAGCTACTTGAGGGCTATCTGTGCTAGCTGTCCCTGATTTTTAGCTCTTCTCTTGAGCTATTCTTTACCAATGAACAGCAGATTGACTATCACCTTATAGCATCCCCACAGCTGAAAGGGCAAGCACGTTTGACGATGAAATTCAATCCCACAACCCACAGATTGCAAGTCAAGTGCTCTAACCACCATGCCAGGCCTAAGAGATTGGACTGGCTAGAATGCTCACTAGAGTTGAATCCAGTTGAAAATGTACAAGATTCTGTATGTAGATGCTCAGTTGCACAATTCACCTTCAAGCAGTGTTGACGAACTGGAAGCAATTTTGAGTCATATCACTCCAGCAACTCATTGATTTGCTCATTTTAAGCTTGCCACTTCAATGTAAAACTTGCATTTGTCTCTTAACTACTCATATGCTTTATTAACAAATGTTCTGTAATCATTTATTGGGCTGCAATGTCTACTACTAAGTAAGCATTTGTAGACTTGGCCTCCAATAGAAAACATTTCCGTATTAAACCACATAACTGGTTGCCTAATATTTGTTTTGCATCGGAATAAACTCAGGGACACAATTGTTGTTATTTAATAACAATAGTTGTGCCTCATCATAGCTACAATAAAGAAAACTGATTATCCCTTATTTCCTTGGCTACTTTGAGCAGTGTACTCACATCTTAACCCTATTGACCATCTAAAAGGGCAACTTTTTCTGAGTTCTACATCACTTAAAATATTTAATAGTTCTACTTGACTGTTTTTGTTTGTGTGAAAATTTTGTAGCCTTTTGAAACAATATATAAAAGCATAAATTCATCTGTACAAGTTATGAAAGCAACTAATACACTAAGTTGTTATTTTCAAGAAGGTGCCATATGTTCTATTCATAATATTTTATAGCTGTAACTCAAAAAAAAATTCCATAAAATCAACAAAATGTGGAAGGATTATACATTTGCAGAGATACTACATATAATTTACAAAAAACTCATTATATAACTTCTGTAGTGCATATTGGTGTATAAGACATTTTATTACTAGAAACAAACAACCTTATAACACCATTGTTAAAAAAATAGTTACAGCATAAAAAAATACAAACTGAATGGATTCCTCAATAGTATTTCCATATCATACACCAAGTATTTATAATCTGAAATGGCTCTTTCAAAATCATGTGGATCATTAAAAGATTTTACTTTATAACCAAGTAAACTTTTGGAAGTAAATGAAACGAAAAAAAAAGTTATGTACAAGATTCTTACTGGTAATATAAATATGTAATTTTTTATCTTATTATTTCCTTGGCTCAGGTTAGAACCTGAGGTCTGTTTCACCAGGTGAGTGCTTTACCAACTGTGCTAAAGCACTTGCTAGTAATGCACTTTTTTAACAACTCAAACTACCATAGAAATAAACTTACCTATCTCCTGTTGAAGATGCCATTACAACAGAAGAAGCATTTCCAATAGGCTCGACAGGCCCCACTCCTACATGGCTGCTGGATGACAAGACCTTCCACCCCATCACTTTTGCAAGGCACTGAACTGCATTCACTTGATGCTGTGAAACCTGTGTAACCATAATCCACATTCTAAGGTTGTTTGAATTAAAGACAAATAATGCATTGCAAAAGCCATGAAACTATATCACATATTTTTACAAGTATATATTATTAAAGTATATCATGATGTTAGAAAAATATGTAGGTTCAAGAAGTCTTGATAAGAAGTCTAGAAGTGAATAAAAACTGTATAACCCGAGTGCTTTCGAAAGGTGAACCTTTCTTCTTGAAGGGCAAACTGGGAATGTAATCGAATGAGTGATATATATATATATATATATATATAAAAGGGGAGTTTTAGTGACTCATGAAGGTCATCCAGTTTTCCAAGAAATGTTTAGTCTATTTCTCTATGTACTGTTGTAAGCATCTCATTTCCAATACAGTGTAGCCAATGGCGAGACTATGTGAAAAGGTGGTTAGGGATATTTTACTTTAGAAATGGATAAATATATGTATCTTTAAAACTTTACTTAAGT